CAGCCACACCAAAATAAAAAATAAAAAATAAAGAAAAACTAATGATGCCTCTAAACATCCATCTTTGAAACCCGATATCAGACAACCAAAACAAACCAAAGCTTCRACTCTAGAAATTCCAATCCACATGGAAATTCCTTTTTTATCAGTGAAGTAGAAAGGTTTCATTAGTTATATGAAGAGTTTAGTACACTCAGGTATAGTCTATTAATCCAAGTTACACATYATTCAAACTAAGACCTAAAAAATGTGAAGTCTGTCAACCCTTTGTTTTGCTAATGAATCCCATTCCATTTGCAATTCTTATAACCCAGTCATAGGGCATGTTTAACTCCCTTGCTCAGCTGTCAGTGCATCTCCATGCTCCAATGGTCTTGAATAGAATGTTACCACCCTTCCTTTTGAATTCCTGAAGGCTCCCATATTGCCAATGAAGCATCCACCCTTCCTTACAAACAGCTTAGGCGCCTGGTCCCTTAGACAACCTGTAAGGGAGATTATGCAACTAAGGGAGCTTGAAGTCTGTTTTAAATGGACTAGAAGATCAGCCAATGCAATGGCCGATACTTTAGCAAAGCAAGGAGTTAGTAGGAAGAACCTTTTTCGGGCCTGTTTGTAATTTTGATGAGAAGGCCACCTTGTTTTTGAAGGTGACAGTTTGTACTAAGTTTTTTTGAAGAATTAATGAAAGTTACCGTTTCCCATCAAAAAAAATGAAGCTTCCATCGAAGTTGAGCTTTAGAAAGTTAGAAGCCGGGGGGGTCCATTGCATAATCTGCATTTTTCTTGAGCCTAGGATGCCACCTCTTTCCAAGATGTCAAGATGTCATTCAGAGAGAAATTGTGGAAATCCTCCAAAGTTTTCACCCAATGCACAGCCTTTATTTTGATTAAGTCAATGATTTCCTCCTTGGATCTGCATTTATCACTGAAAATTCTCCCATTCCTCTTCCTAAATGGTCCAAACCACAGCTGCCCTCACCGCTTTCCAAAGGAGGAGTCCACCTGCACCCAAATAAAGAACAAAGATGCTTCCAAATGCAAAGCACAAAGGAAAGAGATGGGATATAGTTTCACCACTGTCTTCGCATAGGAAATACATATGAGAGGAAAGGCACTTATTCAGCCTTCTTCTTTCCAGCACATCACAAGGTTTAATCTTTCCAAGAAAGACCTCCCAACAAAGAGCCTGAACTTTTGGAGGAATAGGCTTGTTCCAAATTTCTTTCACCGGGAAATTAACCCCCAAGGTATTAGGCTGTATTAAAG